TAATTTCTGAGCTCAAATCTGCTGTATTTTATAAGATATTAATGCTATTATGTAATTCTGAGGAGTTTGGAGTGAAAATTTGTTTTAGTTATTTTGTTATTTATTATTAAAAAAGGTGACATGGCTGCTAGATTTTGAATAACTCGCTTTTTCGGCAGTCTTGATTTGGCCTCTTTCCATTTGTTTATTAATTACTGTTTACTCGTGTTGTAAGCTGTGCACCATCTTACGTTAGTGTTAACAATTTTAGTATTGTAAACACAAGTATTGTTAGCATTGTAAACATAAGTAATAAGTAATCAAATACATTGTTTTCAAGAATCTCAAACACAATGATGCCAAATGGCTTTAAAATACAACTGAAACAGTAACCCGGAAATTTAGGCAGCGTTCCCTAGTGTAGAAAACACCATCCATAAGGTTTGCACAAATGAACTCCTAACATTTCACTTATATTTCATGTTCCTATATAAGCTATAAATATGTTCTGGTACTAATAATTACACTTATCGTATTGTGATAAGAATAAGAAAAAAAATATTTTTGACCAAGTGATTTCTTTTAAAAACATTATAATAAAATTTTCGTCATTTTTATAAATATTTCAAACTTTCCATAAGATTAATATCCTGAGAGAGTATTGCTTATTGATACATAATATATGATAACATACTGGAACCTACAAAATTAAAAAATACATATAAAATTTTAAAAATTTCTTTCTGCACTCTTTAAATTAATCCTTGTACATAATATATTCTTTTTTTTTTAAGCTTCTTGTTACATTTGGATTAATATTTAATGAAATTTAATTTGGGCTCAATGGCCTGCATGGAATGGGTTTAAATATGACAACGTATCAATATCACTTAGCGTTTGGATAGTCATAGGAAAAGGAAGTACGCTAGCTTCTCTCTTGATTTTATAATAGATAAGATAGATCGATTATGATTATCGTAATTAACTGTCAAAATATCATATCATAATATTTTGAACAGTTAGTTACGAAAAAATATTAAGGAAGGGGATAACAGTATATTCCCGCACAATTAAGAAGAGGAAGAGAAGGTAGGGTTAAAACATGGAAACGATCCTCTCCCCAGACGGCATATTCGAGCATCGCTATAGCGAATAAGGTTTTACAAAATATTTCCAACGGTGAATCCAATGCAGAAATGTTTGCAGAAATTGGGACATTTTTCAAATTTAGAGGGTATGTACCCATTAGCTTTTTAGGGGCTGGACATCCCTGGTGTGAATGCTTCCTTATGTCAGTGTTAAATTATATTCTACTCAAACCAGTCTCTTAATGTAGTTGTGCGACGTGTTTTGTTATTAATACTTCACGAAAAACGTAGCTCCCTAAGTACAGAGGGAAATGCCATGTTCACGATGAACGTCATCATTAACCTCGTCTATTTCTTTTATTTCAATAGCGAGCTCTAAGCCAAATGTCTTATAATTTTCATATAAATTTCCACTGTAGAATGGTTTCGAAGATACAGAAGTAGTTAGTCAAAAGCGTTTAACCATTTATGGCATGTTAAAACGTGAATGGTGCAGGGGTCGTGAAGTTGCGCTGTTTATTATTTGTACCACAGGTTTAGTTAAATTAAAGTTTACTGTTCTTTGATTTTGTATTATTATTAATGGATCCACTAAGTAGGCAGTTAATTAAACAAAATGAACAATTAATCAAACGTCTAGATATTCATGTCTTAAGACCACATTTGAAGAACTCCAGAATTTTCACTACTTCTATGTTGAGAGATATTTATGATTCTGATTCAGATTGTGATTTGTTTAGTGAATTACCATCTCGTGGACCCCATGCATTCTCCCGATTTTTAGAAGTACTGAACAAAGCCGGATGTAAAACTGAAGCAATTAATCTGATGAATGGCAATGACCCTAATTATGCCGAATCTGAATTTGGATCTGTATTTTATCCAATGAAATCTAATCCTTTAGGATATTGCCTCATAATAAACAATATAAATTTTTATAGAAATGGTGTGGAAGTCATAGAAAAAAGAAGAGAAGGATCTCGTGTAGATGCTAAAAGATTACGAGATTTTTTCGAAAAAAATAAATACATAGTCGAAAAGCAAACAAATTTAAGATGTGAAAAAATGAAAGAAAACATGGAGAAGTTAGCAAAATCGGATGTTTTAAAAATAGTTGATTGCTGCTTTATTATAATACTATCGCATGGTTATTATAACAATGTTATTCACGATACTCATTTTTGTGAACTTCGTAAACAAGAAGTTTGTGATATTTTTAATAACATAAACTGCGAAAACCTGAGAGGAAAACCCAAAATAATTTTATTTCAAGCTTGCAGAGGGAGAAAGAGAGATGATGGCGTATTTGATGAAAATTCTGATTCTCTCACTTTATCTGAACCAGATCTCGATTTTTCAACTGAATGCACTGATGCATCATTAAATATTAATGTATCAGCAGTAACAAATAGTTCCAAATATCCTAAATTAAGTGATATGCTTATAATACATGCGTGTTTACCAGACCATGTAAGTTACTTAGATAATTTTGATGGTAGCTGGTTAATTCAAGATCTCTTATCTGTGTTCAAGGAAAACTTCTTAGTCCAAGATATTGGAAGTATGCTTACTGCTGTAAGCAGAAAAATGCATGACAGATTATCCCTTAGGGGTCATAAAAAGCAAGTTCTTCATGTTGAATATTTTGGTTTTAGAGCTTTATTTCACATCTGTAGTAACGATGACTACGAAGGTCCAAATAAAAAATTTATACGATACTTACCGTAGAATTCAAATGTGACGTAAAAACAATCTAATTAATTATTTGTGTTTAAAGGTGTGTGCTAAATATTTTAATGAAATGATTTGAGTAAACTTGATTGCGTTATACTATCTGCTTTTTGGAAAAACATAATCAATCTGTTAAGACAATAATTATTTAATTCTAATTAATTATGCATCTATTTGTTATATTAATAAAAATCATACTTTTTAGCATTCATTTGATAAAATATTGTTATAATCTTATTTATATATTTATTCTATATTTAAATATACTATTTATATATATTTTTGTAAAACTTATATTAAAGGTTTATATATAAAATTTATAAACCTTTTTAAAAGGTGTAATTGTTATATGTATGATATATTTATTTAATAATTGTATTAAATTGTTCCTTTTTATAGAATGTTTACTAAAGAAAATTCTTCAAGGAATAAAATGTCTTGACTTTTCTTTATAAAACTTGTTTCATTTTGTTGTTCTGTACAAGTATATTTTATTAAAAATTTATTTGTTTTACAAATAGTTGTTTTTGTGAAATTCACTGAACTATCAATTAACATGTTCTCTAACTAAAGTTTTCAAATAAATATTTATTCAAATTAACTTATAGTTTTTACATAAGAATATTATGAAATTAAAAATATGGTTTGTTATAAGTTGTCAAAATATCTTTTTAAATTGTCAACAGAAATTTATAGAAACGATGGTAAAGTCAGCTACTAAAAAAAAATGGAATACTTATTGTGGTCTTCTTTTAAAAGTATGTCTCTTCTCACGTTAGGTCAAGGGTCAGCAACCCTTTTGGGAACAGTGTTACTTTCTGATGAAGTAAAAATAAAAACTATTTGCCTTTTCAAGTTTTGCAAGTAGCACTTTTTTTTTTCATGTAATTTTGAGAAATTAAGTTTCAAAAATTAGTACAAAGTAAAAGTGTAAAATTATATTTTAAGCATTTTTAGATGTTTAAGCAGTTAGGTTAAATTGAATATGAATAACTTGTAATTGGGGAGATTTCTGTATCCTGATCTGTGGCAGAATAATTGCCAAGTCTTGAAAACTTCTGCGCAACAAAAAACATCACAGAAAAGGACCAACTTAAGAGGTATAAATAGCCACACTGGGCAAACATGTTTTTTTTTTTTTTTAATTTGCTAGTTTAAAATCTATTTGGCGATTGTAGTTGGCGTGACAGATCAGGATACGGAAATATTCCCTTAATTAATTAGGCATTTAAAGTTGAAGTTTTTTAAAAAATGGAACAGACCTTTCAAAGTTCCAACAGTGCCAAAGTAAGGCAACTCAAAGAATTGGGCTCTTCCCATGACCTCACCCATGCTGTTTTACTACATAGTTTTACTGCTGTCAAACAATTCCGAGCATATTTCTAACTTGTTTTATTCAGTAGTTAATGAACTAAGTTTTTGCAAATTTTGATAAAGTTCCTGAGGAGGAGTTTAATTATATTTTTAAAAGTGTTCACTTGCCACTGTTAGAATTTTCTGTTGTGGCATGTGTGCTGAGGGTTGACTATCCATGAATTTGGTATCTAGTTAGAAGGGGCAGTTTTGTTGCTTCTGTATATGAAGAGTAATTTTAAATAAGTGTAGATTGTGTAGTTCTTAATATGGGTTTTTAGACAAAATAATAAATTTAAAAAAAACGAATAGTTTAAATATGCGAATACTTTAAAAAGACGAATTTGAATATTAATTTTAAAATAAAATATAGTCATGTATAGTAGTAAATGTGTTTTTATTAAATCATCATCCACATGAAGAATATCATGATATTGTTAATTATAACACCTTCTAACAGTAAAATTAGACATTCCTAAAACTTCATACTAGAATATCCCATTAACATTCTATGTTTAAGGAAGTTGATTAATCATGCATTTTGTGTTGATAGTTACGCAATTATTAAGATAAGCCACTGTTGGAAAGCAAATGTTTTAAATACTAAAGTTTTTTTTCTTCATATTTTTCCTCTAATTTTTCTTTTTAAAAATGTTATACATACATTATGACTGATATTGAACATTTTTCTTAAATTTTGTATTGTTTTTGAAAGGTCTTAGATAATTTAGTTCTAATAATTTGAGTTTTCAATGTTTGACTCTTATTTCTGTGATGCATATTCTTTAAACATTCAAACTTTTTAAGACCCAAATCAGTTATGTATATCATTTATCTATATTATTTTTATCTTTTGAATTTATCACACTAACTGAAATACTTGTTTCTTTTTCTTAACTGCAAAAATCTCTAACCTTGGTAAAAAGAAATTTTCTCTATAATTTATTTTAACTAGAACCAATAAATTTTGTTATATACTCTTAAGCTGGGAGTTAAATGCAACTAATATACTTCATTAGACTCAAAACAAAACTATATTATTTAAAGAAATGAGTTCTATTACTGATTACAATTTGCCTTGCTATTTATATAATTAATGGAATTGTCGAGATTGCTTTTCTATTGAAAGTTTTCCTATGTGTGGCTCTATGTTGAAAAAACATTAAAATTAAATCATTTTCAACTAATGACTATCGCTTTCTGTATTTGGTTTTTAAGGCCACCAGTCGTAAAATACCTTATTCAGAAAGATACAATTGCAAAGGACATTAATATTTTTAAAGCTCTGATGACACAAACCTAGATATTCATGTCGATGGGCAAGCTTAAAATTGTCCAAAGCATGGTAGGTAAATCTATAATAAACAATAGTCCTTACTCTCTCTTCAAGAAAAAGAAGAAAAAAAAGAGACATATTGCTCATCTTGATATTTAAAAAGGATTCTTAAGTTACTGATTATATATACAGTCGAACTCGCTTATAACGAGCTCGGATTTACCGAGGGAAATGAGAATATTTGGTTGGATCAATGTTAAGTCTATGGAACAGAAGTCGCTTTTAACGAGAAAGGCCCGGTTTTAGCGAGCAATATTTTTCTGTCTTGCAATCTTTTTTCTCATCTTTCTGTCTTATCTTTTTTTCAAAATTATAAGAAATGCGCGCTTGCCCTTACGCTCTAGTCTAAAGCATGGGAAAAGTCACGTGAGAGTAGGCGGTGATGTATCGATTTCGTGCCTTATCGGTCATGACCGATAAAAGTAATATAATTAAATTTAGTAGGTAAAAATTAATTTAGTAAGCAAGAAAAGTATTTAATTAAATTAATTAATGTAAATAAAGTAAGTAAGTATTAATTAAATTTTAAGTAAACTCAATCATTTGACCTCCAAAGCCTCCCCCCCCCCTCTTCTGGTTGCACGCCTGCCTTAAGCCTTATTACGAGCAATCGGATTTAACGAGTACAATGTTACGGTCCCTTTGTGCACGTTATAAACGAGTTCGACTGTATAATTAATTTAACAAATTTTCTTTCATCAACTATAAGGGATCACAGCACATGAAATTTAACTTCAGTATCAAGTTTTTTTAACTGCTGACAAGAAAACTTTCAATGGATTTTGAACACAATTTTTTTTTCATAGATTAACAAATTATTTGAATTCTTAAGGGGTATTCTTCTATTAACGCTTTGAAATTTTTTTTCCACAATCAGCATGATATACTTAGTTGACTATTTAATAAGTGTTTTGGAAATTATGCTTACTCAATAAGTTACTTGAACATTCGAATAGTGTTTTGGAAATTATTGAAACGTTTTTAGTGTGTTCTTTACAGCATGGAACCACAGAAAACATTATTATTGATATCTAAGCAATTAAATGTCGAAATTTATAGATAGATTTAAATTATTGATCGCAAATTAACCCATTCGTAGTTCTGCACGTAAAAAGTCGTAATTTTACCTGCAGTCTTCTCCGCATAGCAAAACTGGTTTTCCCATGTTATTAGATGGGGAAATAGTGTATAGGGAAGAAACATTCTCCCAATTTTGCTAAGATGCCAGTGGGTTAAGTATACACGTAAAGCATTCATAACATTGTTTATATTATATTATTTTTCTACCTTCTCTTTAAACCTTTTTAAGATAAAAGTAATTTATAGATCAATTGATTGATATTTTACTTGTTAATGGTTCACTTAATGAAGTTTAAATCAAACTATTAAAAAAAGGAATAACAAATAATGGTTTTTTTGTAATTTTATTAAAAACAAGAGATTATTTTCAACAGCAGCAAATGCATAAAAATGATTTAAGATCAATATATAAAACAAATTTGTCACATTCATTAAGCTTTTGTAAAAGTTTGGGTACCTAGTAACAACAGTGCTCAGGTAATGGACGAAGCAGATATAAAAGGTAGAGTATATAGGGGAAATAATCAGTGGGACGGCTGAAAATATATTACAGTTTTTGATTAACAAAATTAATATTTATCAAGCATTTTTTGATAGCTGAAACCAAATGAAACACATTGTAGTTAAACACAATACTTAGTTTTTTTCATTTTAATTACACACTTAATAATAATTTTATAGTAACTTATACTCATAAAACTCAAACTAAAAAAGAAAATTTTTAAAAATAGAAATTCGATTTAAAAAAAAGAATTTAGATAAAAATAAATACAAAATAAATAAAACATAGGTTATAGGAATTCTATTCAAAATTAACAAAGATTGAATGCAGCTTTTCAAACAATGAAATTTTTTTCAACACCACCGGGATAAGAAATCACACACTTGACATTCCAAAAATTAACATTTCAAACTAACAGGGGTGATTGTGAGCCCAAGTCAAAATTCCGGAAAATTTCTCGAGTTAAAAAAAAAGTTTAAATTGAAAAATTAGGAAAAAAATTTAAATAAGGTTTTTTTTTCCTTTTTTTCAATATTTCTTAGTTTACTTAAAATATTTTTTAAATTTTACACATACCTATACCATTTACACATACCTATGATGACCTGGAGAAGTAATTAAAATTTACAAATATGTCTTTCTTTCTTGAGTTTATGATTATAACAACTATTTACTGATAAGAAATGAATATAAGCTTATAAAGTATCTCTCTGGCTCTCCTTTACAATCAAATAAAATAAACTGTGTTTTTAAGTTCCACCTTTGAAAATTTGATTTCCGGAAACTTCCGGATCACTGTTAGCAAAAAGTCCGGAAATCCGGATTTTTTCCGGAGCACAATCAGCCCTGAACTAATAAAGAATGCAGTTCTTTAAAAGTAATTTTTTTAAAGAGCATTATTTCATAACACTAATAATTGAATTCCAATAAGAAATTTCTTAGACTTACAATTAAAAGCGTTTTTTTTATCAAGTACTGATGCAAATTAGATAAAAAAGAATATTAGGCATGCCCTGAAAGGAACAGAGACAATTTTTATGATCACATTTATCACTTTTATAATTACATCATATTTTAAAGCAGTCTAACTACCCCACCCCCCAAAAAATACCTTGCCTTAAGAAAAATAATTTTTCTTTACCACAATTATAGAATTAAAAAAAAAATTTCAAAGAGAAAGCATTGTGAAAGTCTTTCCTCAGTAGAAAATCAATTAAATAAAATTCTATTGACCTCTACGTATAACAAGACTTCAATCTTAAGGTAAGCTAAATTTCCTTTCAGAGTTCGACTATTGAAATCCAAATAAACCTGTATAATTTAAATATGA